ATAGATAGATAGATAGATAGATAGATAGATAGATAGATAGATAGATATATAGATAGATAGATAACCAATCAGAGCCCTGGGTTTCCGTATTTGTGCGCTGTTCCTTTAAGAGCAGTCCCCGGGATCTTTTCCTTTTTTTCTCTGGCCCTCATACAAGGGGCTCTTTAAGCCCTGCTGCGGCCGCACAGAGCCTGCATTCATACCCGGGCGGCGCAGGCGAGGGGGCTGGGGAGCGAGCGTCACTTTGGAAAGTCAGGAACTCACGGATTCTCGTGCGAAAACGGCGACCTCCTTTTCTCAAAACCGAAGTAAGGCACTTAGCATTTCCAACTCTTCGCTCTCTGCTGCTGGCGGTTGCTCTAACTCTAACCATTTGGTTATTATGTTTGGTTTTAAAAAAAGATGTCGACCTATAAGAATTAGAGTTGTCACTTTATACTTCTGTGATTGATAAGAGTTACTATTGTCCTGTTTCGTGCGCATCAGTTGTGCTAAAGTGACTGCATGTCCTCTCTGGAACATTTTAAGGAACCTCTAAAGAATTAAATCACTAAAGAATTCTCATTAGTCCAATGGCGCAACAAGTGCTTCTGTGCTAAACTCACTGGAGTACAAAAAGTACAACCTTTTATTCATCACACAGAAAATCAGCTTTTCAGTGAAATGAGATGTGAAGTTTCTGAGGTGCGAAAAGTACATTTTAGTAGATAAAGAAACAGTTAGTTGAACACCATTCTTATGTCTAGGTAAGCTTTGTATGCTCTGATAATAGGATATTGTGGTTGTTGTGCCGCTGAATTGGAGCTATGTGGGCTGGCTAGGCTTAAAAGAGAGAGAGAGAAAACAAAACTTTAGAACAAGCAAATTAAGGCCAAGTTATTGGCAAATCAGCCGGTGATAATGAGCTCACATCGCTCAAATTCATTATGCACGGTAAATCTGCTCGGTGACCAAGTGCAAATCAATAAGAATCAGTCTATCACGTGCACGCATAGCAGTATATAGAATGATGTCACAATAAATAACACATGATTTGGCATGGTTAATTCATTTCAGGCGTGCATCCTACTGACAATATGGGTGCTGTAAAATGTGAAAAAGGATGTAATTTAAGCTTTTTCTGTTTTGGTTATAATTATCAGTGTCGAAGGGAAACGTCACGCACTTTTGGATTGGAAAAAAGAAAAGAGAGATTTTTTTACGCATGACGTTTACGCACAGACACTGGGTGACAGCCTGTGGATTGGGCCTGGAGACCAGGTGGTAAGCGAATCTAAAAACTGGACAGGTGGCGAAGCTTTGGCCTTCCCTCTGCTGGAAATGAATACCCCGGGAACCCACTCAGATGTTAATTAAAATCTGTCTCTCGAAACACTTTCCTCAGAGCCACACGGGACTCGGCCTGTAATAAAACTCTCAATAGGACTTTATCAGTGCGTTCACAAACGGTTTGAATACTTGTTTGTTGTCAGAAGTTTACCACAAACTCTTCATCCGACATTTTTCCTAATACGCACGCTCTCAAATTTGTTGCGACCTGATTTGGATGCAGAAAACGGGCCGTGTTTGGCTGGTTCACAGAGAGGGCGCTGATTTAGGGCGCAGGAGTTTGGAGGGAGGGTGTTGGTTTAATGGACAAAAACGAAAACACGTTTTTTTTTCTCCGGCCGGTAGACCATGCCCCTTGCTCCACAAACAGGCCGTGTCTGACACACGCGCGCGGCCGGGAAACGCACGCACCCGGGGGTTCGTGTTTCCAGCGCCAGGCCGTGTTTATCCAAGAACTGAATATAAATCCAAGGTCTGTGCTGCTTGTGGCCTCGTATCATTCCAGCGAGTTCTCTCCGGGGAGCTTGGAATAACTGTAAAGCCTTAAACAGAAGCTGGTTGGGGAGGGCGAAACCTGCCACACCGTTAAGTAGGAGCCATGCCTTTAGACTGTATTTGGTCGAAGAAGGAATAGCCATCAAACACAAACCTTTCCCCGATGATCTCTTGATTTATACTAATCAGACGCTTCCTAAACCCAAATAATGCTCCTCAATCTTCTCTTCCAGGTCCTTCCTTTTGGATTTTAGCCACGGATCACACGGAGGAGGGAAAGAAGGGGCAGTCAGAAGGGGAAGAGTGGCGGGCAGAGTTTGGCGCAGTCCTCTGTCCTTTTAACGCGTAAACTGGGCTCCGAGGTGCGCATCACCAGGCCTGTGACATCAGCAACACGGATGGAAAGAACTTCGATGTGGAACCCGCACAGAGTTTTGCAGCGGAGGCTGAGAGTAGAGACAGACTGGCAGTTCGTGTTGTAACTCGGAGGAGAAAGAGCAGAGACAGGAACCCACACCAGAAAAAAAAGGCTTTATAGGCTCTCTCCCTGTCCAGAACAAGCATGTCCAGAGAGGAGCAGAGCTTTTCGGAGGTTGAACTCAGCCCGGGCATGTCGGACGACAGCCGCTCCCTGTCTCCTGGTCACTCCTCGGGCGCGGCGTGCGGGGGGGACTCTCCCCTCCACGCGCAGCAGCAGCAGCAGCCACAGCTGGCGCAGCTGGATGGCGCGTCCGCGGCGGGATGCTCGGCCCTCAAATCCGACGACGAGGAGGAGGACGAGCGCTTCCCCGCCGGGATCCGCGACGCGGTGAGCCAGGTGCTCAACTGCTACGACTGGACCCTGGTGCCGATGCCCGTGCGCGTCAACACGTCCAGCAAAAACAAGCCGCACGTGAAGAGGCCCATGAACGCCTTCATGGTGTGGGCGCAGGCGGCCCGGAGGAAACTGGCCGACCAGCACCCGCACCTGCACAACGCCGAGCTCAGCAAGACCCTGGGCAAGCTCTGGAGGTGAGCAGGCCACGTCTGGTGGAATAGCTTCAGCAGACAGAGGGAAAGTGCATTTCAGAACAATTCAAACTCAATAAGGTCAACATATCACCGAACAAAGCGACAGATAGAATTATAATATTACTTTCTGTTTTTCGATAGTCTATTTCCATCTTAATTCCTGTTCATGTTGGCAGATGAAAGTTTAGGACGTCATATTATATTATTTCAGAGGGAAAACAACAAACCAGTATAACAAGGATCTCTTCATTCTACATTTCCACACATTAATCTAAACTAATTTCCATTTTCATTCATCTCAACGTGACTTTTCATCACCTTTGCCACAGACATGGAAATGCTAACACCAGTGTTTACATTTCAAATTGATTTCACCAGTTATGTTCAGCTGCTTCAGCCCTCCCAGGTGAGCAAATAGTGGTAGGGAGGGGGGGGGGGTGGTTGGGCCATTGATAAAATGATACATTCCCATATGTACAAGCTGTGAAATGTTTCTTACTAAACATCTCCACATCTATCTGGATGACCTCTTTTGGTGACAGCTGAGCCACTGAGCAGCGCTTGTTTTTGTGCAGCGTGTCATGGTCACATGTTCTTGGTTAATTTAGCCTGTTGAGGCTCTTTCCTCTGGCAAAACAGGGTGTTTTCCCGGCCATGAACTTCAAATTTGAAACTTATCGAAAGAGAAAAAACCTTTTAAATATTCCACCTCATTACGATGTTATTTTCACATGTTTATAAAATATAACCAGTTGGTAGCCATAAAATGTTCTGAAAACTAAGTCCTGACCAACCTTTGAAGGGTCTTGTTTTGCGCCACCAGGTTTGAGGCTTTTCATACAAATACTAACAAACTCATGGCAATAAGTTCAGAAAAAGTTAAATGAATTAACTTTGTTTGGTATAGAGTATTTATTCAATAAAGTCCCGACTTTGGACTCTGTCAGGATTAGTTAATTGGCCCTGAAACATGATGAACAGGGATGCCTGGGAGGGTCAGCAGTTTCTCATGCCATACAGTTGCCTTGCCAGCAGTATAAATCACAGGAGCTCAGTTCAGTGTTTCCAGACCGGATGCAAAGTCAACCGTTATTATTTCATTACCAACCAAAGGTAAAAAGCCCCCAGCAGGCAACACAGCTGTGCCGATTTAGCTGTTCAAGGCAACCTGAGAAAGTAAATGAGACTTTCAAAGTCTCCATAGTTCCCATATTTTATTTTTCACAGTTTAAAAAAAAAGTTATCGTAAGTACTGTTTCAAACACATGAATTTGCATGAAAAAACAAAAGAAAATTTAGCCACTTTCTTTATCGAATGTTTTAAATGGCCCGAGGTACCAACATCTTTTCTTTCAATTCAAGGCTTCTCAATGAGAGTGACAAACGGCCCTTCATTGAGGAGGCGGAGAGGCTGAGGAAGCAGCACAAGAAGGATTATCCGGACTACAAATACCAGCCACGGCGTCGCAAGAACGGGAAAATTGGCTCCGGGTCAGGGAGTGAGGCCGACAGCCATTTGGAGGGTGAGGTCAGCCACAGCCAGTCCCACTACAAGGGCCTCCACCTGGAAGTGGCTCAGAGTGGGGGGGCCGAGTCCCCTCCGGCTGATGGGCACCACCCTCATGCTGCAGGTGGGCTGCGGCCTCCCTCTGTCCCAGTATTAGATCTGTGTGGCTTCTAGTGGACAGGATGGCAAATAGTTCATTATTTTTTTTAAGTGTATGGCCAAAGAGGTGAAGTAACAACTGTCTTCTGTCTGTACAGGTCAGAGCCACAGTCCGCCCACACCTCCCACCACTCCCAAGACTGAACCCCAGTCCGGGAAGGCGGGGGATGGCAAGAGGGAGGGCGTCGGGAGTGGGGGCTCCCGGGGCGGCGTGGGGGCCGAGGGGGGCTCCGGCGTCCCCGGGTCGGGAAAGCCTCACATCGATTTCGGCAACGTGGACATCGGCGAGATAAGCCACGAAGTGATGGCCAACATGGAGCCCTTCGACGTCAACGAGTTCGACCAGTACTTGCCGCCCAACGGGCACCCGGGGGTGGGGCCGGGCGGCGGGGCCGGGGGGGGTTCCGTGGCCTCGCCGGCCTCTCCGTACACCTACGGCCTGTCCTCGGCTCTGGCCGCGGCCGGCGGACACTCGGCCGCCTGGCTGTCCAAGCAGCAGCAGCAGCCGCAGCAGCAGCACCACAGCTCCCCCCTCAGCCCAGACGCCTCCAAGGCCCAGATCAAGAGCGAGACGGGGGCCTCCGGGGCTCACTTCGCGGACGCGGTCTCGCCGGGGGCCCACGTCACCTACGCCCCGCTCAGCCTTCCCCACTACAGCTCCGCCTTCCCCTCGCTGGCCTCCAGGGCCCAGTTCGCGGAGTACGCCGAGCACCAGGCCCCGGGCTCGTACTACGGCCACTCGGGCCAGGCCTCGGGGCTGTACTCCGCCTTCTCCTACATGGGGCCCTCCCAGAGGCCGCTCTACACCGCCATCACCGACCCGGCCAGCGCCTCGCAGTCACACAGCCCCACGCACTGGGAGCAGCCCGTCTACACCACCTTATCCCGGCCCTGACGGAGGAGGCGGGACTGCCCCGGGCGCAGGTCCGGCTCCCACGTCCGAGCACAACGGCGGAGGGTAACGACCACACGGTTGGCGGCGTCAGGGATGGAAGCGGTCCGGTCTGGGGGAAGTGGGCCGGCGCCGCAGGACTCGGATGGGAAAGCCGAAGGGATTTTGCCCCGGATTTGAAAATGCTGTCACAGCCCAGGACACGCTTGGACTCTGCCGCTCTCAGGGGCTTTCTGATTCCTCGGTTGGACATGGTGTGGTAGCAAGAGAGAGATAAAGGAAATTTGGGGAATGCAAAGACAAAAAGAAAGACACCCCTTTGCAGCAGAGCCTCCAGCACCTCAAACATATCAGTGACAGTGTTCATGGATCGTTTGGAGGGGGGTCCTATCCGAATCAGTTAAAAGACTTTGTCCCAGAATCATATTGTAGTCCACAAACCCCTACCCCAGGCCAACACAGGGGTCAGCAGCAACAGGAAGTCATCCTCAGTCTACATAGCCATGGATGAGACTGAGAAGGAGCCAATTTTCTTCAGCGTGACATATTTTATATTATTAAAGTGCCAATTTATTAGTTGGCCTTTTTATTCTAATTCAGGATTGACCCATTACCACACAAAGCCTGGAAAAAAAAATCAGATCCACGCGGTTTTTAAAGCAGAGCCCGATTCGTCCGTTCATGTGTCCTGTTGGAATGTTTTTGTGCTCACAACGAGCAAAGCTAGGAACCATACTGAGGGTCTGCAAAGTGACGCTTTTTTTGGTTTGTTTTTTAGAAAAAAGCTATGCTCATATTGACTTACTGTTTTCAGGTTAGATAAATGCAGTGTACTTGAAGTTCTAAATGTACATATTGTATATTGATGCATTCAGATGTGAAATATTTGTAAAAAGAAAAAGAAAAAAAAATGACCAAAGTTTTGACACCAAAACTTTTTGTTTACCTTTTAAAGGAAAGAAACAGATTTCATTGACGTTTCTCCCAACCTGACACTCCAAACTACCTGACATTTTGTAGCTGGTTAGATGTTTCTTAGCGGTGGATAGTTATTTCTCTCCTTTAGCGCGAGTTATGGGTTCACTTTTAAACGTTTTTCGTGTCAAAAACTACTTTAGCTTTATTCACAGCGGCACTGATGAGTCTGATAGTTTTCTGATGACAGAGTCACAGTAAAAGACAATTCTATTTATACTCTGATAATCTGACGATGGTCGCAGTGTGACAGTTAAGAACGTGTCTAATAAATGTACTTTTTTTCCTAATAATATACTGTGACAACTCTGTCAAATACATAATTATATATATATATTTTTGCCATTTCCTACAACACTGAAAGCCTTCACTACTGCTTTTTTGCTTGTATGTTATGTAATTCAAAGTGTCTTTATAGAGCAGTATTTGGTGTGAAAGAGTCAAATCTTTTGATTGTAGTTAGCGAAAAAAAAGAAGAAAAAATGGAGGAAACTTTCAGTGTATGGAATGCCAACAATGGGAAACAGCTGCCACAGATAAAGTGCTTTAACAGCCTGATAGGTAATAGAAAATGTGCCGTGCCTTCACTAATACATATTACTAACAGGTTGTGCAGAAGGGTTAAAAAAAAAAAAAGAAAAAAGTTTAAAAAAGGCTATTTCATTTAATGTTTTGTGTCAATTACTGGTGTAATTATAAGTCAATGTTTCTTTTTCTTGTGTATTTTGGTTTCTCTCCTTTTCATTGATAACTTTTTCATCATACTGACGTAGCAACATCATTTGAATATCTTACCTGCCATATGGAAAGTTAGAGAATCCTAATGAGTTTCCGTTGAAGCGTTTTATGTGAAGTTTATGCCTAACGGAGCCACATCTGAACAATTCACATGCACTGCTGCCTGTATAACTGCTCGATCAAAGCTTAAGAATCCCACGCATTTGAGCCCTGGCCCCCACCACACGGGGCGGAGGTGAACACTACAACGTTCTGATTTCTTATTTATGCTAGGCTTATTGTTTGCGCGCACCGTTTTTTCTCTCCGTTACAGAGGAATCCTTTTTGGAAGCAGTGCACAGCGACCAAACTTTTTACAACAGGAATAAAAGCCTCAACATGCGATGACGACTTGTTATCTGTTCCTCTCAGATTAAATAAAACTCTTCATTTCTATTGGAATCCATCCTGCCTCTTTCTTTCAGTGAAACTACTTACTAAAATATTACGTAACATATCTTATGGAGTATCTGGTCCCCTCTGGGCTGATGTCTTTCCTCCTTAGCATCGTATTTACGTGCTTTCAGATGCTCTGGAGAAGCAAACAGCCCAACCTCTGTTTTCAAAGAGGTACCTGTGCTTCCTGGTGATCAGTTAATAAAGTGCACTTATCCTCAAACTAAAGCTCTGGTGATGTTATTCAAACTTAAGACTGGCTGTAAACATAGAAAATATAGGTCAAATTGTCCTCTATACCGGTAAGATCAGCAACTGATTAGTTTGTATAAGTTTATCTATTCATTTAAAAATAGACCTGGGTGTCTGTGAGCTGATTTCATTCGATTTGATTCAATTTTAAAGCCCCTGCTTCCATTTGAATCCTCTGATGCTAACTTCTTCTTTGACACAATAGACAGATACATTTTATTTAGATTTATGCATAGAGGAGAGAATTATTCCAGAGCCCAGAGCCTTTGTCCTTGCACATAAACATGAATCTACACCATAAATTTGACTTGAGCTAATCCAACTCTGAACCTTCGTTCCTGGCTCTTGTCAGAAAGTCTTTGCCTGGAGAATGTGCTGCCCACCGTCTGGCTGTTTGCTGAGTTTTGGTTGGGCTGTGCGTGTACGCAGTGAAGGGATTGTAGTGACAATGCACAACAGTGGACGTGTCACTGGAACCGTGCTCTGGTGCTCTGGCTTGTGGCCGACGACGTGAACTAAATGTTCCCTCTAACTAAACTTTGCCTAATCTAGCCCGGGGGACGTATGGTCAGTTACGTGTACTGGATGCATATTTCAGGTTTCTTCTGTTGCGTGTGCTGCTGCGAGTATTGCGGGTTAAGCCTGACTCCTAATTCCCTCTCTTTAATCGGCTGTGTGATACTTTGAAAAGACAAAGAGGGCCATTGATGGGGATCTAGGGGGGTTGTGGGGGGGGGTGGGAGGGAAAGAGGGCAGCGAGGGAGCCTTACTCGTAACTGGCCAGCCTGTAGCTTCACTGGGATACAAAGGGACCCTTGCTCTCTGCACATCGACCCCGCAGACCTCACAACCCAGCCGTCTCCTCCTGCCCCAGTCACGGAAAAAATGAAATGCGTTTGTCAGGTTAAAACATTTCTGAGATTAAAACACTGGAAGTCACAACAGGGATGCCTAAAAAATAAGAAAAGAAAAAGAACCAGTAGCTCAAAGTAGCTGGCAGGTAAACTGGTGGACTTAGAAGGGCCATAATGAGATAACTAAAACAAACTCACTCCTGGATGGATGGGTTGCCACTCTGTTTTTTAACAGACATGCTGATTCACTGAGGGGTTGGCTCAAACGTAAGCCGAGCACTGGACCAGATCGAATCCTGATCCTGTAAGCATCTTATTCACCTAAATGTTGAAAGACTGACTAATCATGAGAATTCAATAGGAGAACGTCAAAGAGGAAAAAAGCACATAAGCTTAAAAAGACCCCACAAAAAACTAAACAACACAAACCTAAACATGACATATATTCACGTTACTCAAAGTTTGGAGGTTTCTTAGTTGCCCCAAATATATGATAATGTCATGGTAGACAAGATCTGGGGAATTCACAGCGTGCTGTATGATAGAGAAGTAGGTTATAATACAGTTTATTGGTCTGGAGAAGAACAGGCTAGCACCATTTGGTCATTCAAATGGGGATCTCAGGATTAATGTTACGTGTGGAACAGGTGAAAAGAGGGAAGAGCTGGAAAAAGGTGTGAAGCCGTGATAGGCGGCGGTCGTCTTTGGGAAAGTGGAAGGCGGTCAGCCACCAGAGACCCTCGGCTCTGAGGCAGCCTGATGGCCTCGCAGCGTTTGGTGCGGGTGATGGTCACATGGGCTGCCCTATCGCACGGCGCCGTCACCCTCAAGCGCTGCCTCCTCCAATAGAAAGCCATGGATTTTTCCCCCCCCAGAAATGAATGACCTTACTGTGGCTTCACCCACATAAAGTGTCTGTTATAGTATGCTGCTGACCGCTAAATGACCGAGGTTCCCTACCTTTGACGAGAGCTTTTTATGTCATGCATTAACCAGAAATCCCAGACTTTATTTTCTACATTGCTAACTCCCTCTTTCCTCCAGCAGGAGCGGGCCGCCTCTGTGCCTGGGCAGTAACCCATTTTTCCCAAAACAATACAGGGACTGTTTAGTTGCTTTGTATGTATGAGCCTGTATGTGTGTGTGTGTGTGTGTGTGTGTATGTGTGTATGTGTGTGTGTGTGGGCGGGGGTGGGGGGAGCCAAAGACAGCATCCTGACAGCTACTCGGCCTCTCACGCTGCATCCCTTAAAGGCAGCTCCTGAACATTCAAACAAGCCACAAGTTAGTCAGCCTTTTCATTATTATTATTTCTATAAGACAGGTGAAGTAGATTTAAGATTTAAAAATTAAATAAAAAGCACAGTGAAGATTAAATTCAGTTTTTGGATGAAACTCAAAAGCAAGTCGATTGCTTTTTTTTTTAAGTTTTGGGACTTTCCCTCCTCCCCCCTACCCTCAACATCAGCTTAAGGGATATTGGACATGTGCGCATTCATAGGGAAATCTCATCCGCAAAAAATGTTCCACAAGCAGACAAATCAGCAATATATCTGCAGGTATATATGAACACTGAAAAGTTTCACTGAATAAGAGCAGGTTTGCAACATTTATATTATAGGATTTCTAGACTGACTATGGAAATTGCAAGACGTCTGAGCAGTGGTTTCGGTTGTTGCTACATGTACGGTGAACACAGAGAAATTAAGATGCAGCAGTATGTCCGAGGTTTTCTCATACAGTCCAAAGCTTTGTAGTATCAACAAACCTGATCCATCTTTGTATGTCCACTGGGGGGGAAGATTTTTTAAAAGTCTTGAACCGTGCAAATACAAGCGTATTGCTGACGTTTGGTTTGCCAAACAGCCCCAAATCAAGCATGAATAGCTGCTGTAAGTATTTTTTTGAGAAATAAATTACAGATTTATACAAAAGAAGTTTATTAATAGTCATAATAAGAACAGATCTTTTACACAAACCATCGCTTTTCAAAAACAATGTATGGAACAGTTACAACACAGGATCCTTTTTTGAAAAAATAAAAGAAGAAAAAGAAGTGGTAGACAGAAGTTAAATCTACGGGGCCTCCTACATATAACGCTGCAATTAAAAAAATTACAACTCATTGTACTCACTACTTCACCTGAAATCAGGAAGCAATAACTGTCACACTTTGTGATGATGGAGCAGGTATGACTGATAGCTCCTTCAGTGCAAACTGTGGTCGAATTAATCGGTTATAATGAGCTCATCACAGCCCCAGTCCTCATAACTCCCGTCTGGAAGGTACCTGCGGATGATTATGGGGATCTTTCTGCTCCTGTGATAGAGGACGGCGAGAGACGGGGTGTAATCACATCGATTGGCTCCATTGAAACAACCAAACAAAAAAATGGCCTGGAACTGGTGACTTACTTCAGTTCTTTCATAGCTATCTGTAGAGGATCAGTTTCTCCCTCCAGCTCCACCATCACAGGAGCACACATCCTGTGGAAGAAAAGAAACAAACATGACAAAATCAGCACAGAGAAATACACTAACATCATTCGATAATGTCTTGTATTAAGATAAGTAGCCCGATCCTGTCAGATATCAGAAATTCTGACCAAACAATCTGTGTTTTAACAGGCCATGACCTTTTAAATAACCTGACACTGAGGTTACACCATAAGGCCCACGCAAACGTAAACACTCACGCGATCTGGAGAGCTCGTGTCCCCAGCACCCTTGCCCTCTCGTATTTGGTCATATACGATGTGGTGATCCTCCTCTGATTCGCCTGCTGGCCTTCTCCTGCAGGCAGGATCTGCACGTTCTCCTGATCCTCCTGCTCACCACAGCAAAAACACAAAGGCTTACACAACACTTTACAGTGTGGGTGGTCACACTCAGTTGAGACCAAAAGAAAAAGGAGACCATGTTAACAGCCAAATAGAAGGCAATATCAGTCACCACCTACATCTTCCACGTTTTCCAGATCATCTAATCCTTCATCCTCCTCGGCGTCATCAAAATCTCCGTCATCGAAGCTATGAATTGCAAAAGGTTTATTACAAACTATCAGAAACGCCAAATACAACCATGCTGGCGAATTGAGTAAGTTACAGTTAGCTAGCTCATTTCGTAAACAAGCGGCTTATCGAGGCATGCCGCGGTAGCGACGAGCCGTTACTCACTTGTCTTCGTTGTCGGACATTCTAAAAAAAGATTAAGATCGTATATCTCCCCGGTGAATCTTTACAATTTAATATTTTTCTGGGAAATAAACTGTAGTCAACATGGAGCCACACGAGCAGAGCGACCGCTGAACTTCCGGTGTCTTGTACGTTCGGTAAAAGATTCCGGACAGCAGCAGAGTGTGTGTATCGTTCCTATCACGTTCTCTTCTTCTTTAAGCTTTTGTACTCTGCTTTTGTGCTACTGCCATCTTCTGGAGACAATTGAATCCTACAAATTTTACTATTAGCACTTGATGCAAACATAACCTTTTCCTTGTTTTTGAATGTTTTCTTTTTTTTTTAAACTTTTTTTTCTAATATACCATACTACACTATACTATACTTTACTATACTAACATTTTCAAAATAGAAAAAGTAATTGCATTACCCCAATGTTCTTTTGCTCAAATTAGAAAAATCCAGCCGCTCAAAAAATATAGAAAATATGAAGGCAGTCGACTTAAATTCTTTATTTTTGGTCACCAAAGCAACGTGCGTTAAAGGACTGAATCTCACATAAAACATTCTAACAGTCACAGTCCAGATGTAAAGGTCATCATGTAAGAAAGTATGGAATAAGTGGAAACTTTTGGTAATAGGTGACGCCACAGGGAAATAGTTAGAGTATTTTAACAAACGTGATACCACCATGACACCTTCATTTCTGAGGACTGTCAATTCCACTTTTAGTTGAAGGAAGTTTTTCAGTAAAATATTATCAAAATTGATATGTACAGATTTAAAATATTAAGACAAATTATAGTGAAATAAGTATCAAAATTGAGATTGGGTTTAATATATCCATTAGTCTCAACAAAAATATGTTTTAAAAAAGGGTCAACATCTCAAAGTGTATACCTCCATAACAATTCATATATTTCTTTAAAATGACGGATTAATAAATAAGAGATTGACAAAACCATTGTGGATCCTAAATTAGGAATATCTGTTAGTGAAATTGAGGTTTTTGTTGTGTAAACTAATGTCTACAAAAACCCACGAATTTTGATCATATAACTTTTAAATTTTCTTTTGGTGTGTTACAAAATATTTGAATGCATTTTATCTACAGGGAACAAGGTTTATAGTGATATCTCCAATTTCTTCCCGGGATTTTTGACTTCTACATTTTCTGACACATGCCAAGGAAAAGTTCATTTCTTCCATTTCTGGGAGCTTTCTCAAAAATAAAACGTCCACACACAACAGCAAGTCCACATGTGTCCCTACAAGTAAAATGGCAACTCTTCTGCATGTTGAAGCAACATGGAACTCACCCTGTAAATCATGTCCATCATATGGATTAAACTTTTCCTTAGGGAAAAGAAAATCATAAAAAACATTGTGTGGCTGCATAAATCCAGAATCTGACTTGTTTTTGCAGCAAAAACTGCTTTTTCAGCTCTTCTTCTCCACAGAGGCCTTGCTGCTCCCTGCTTTAATGTTCAGCATTTTAAATACTTTAGCAGGTTTGAACTTTCCTCTTGAACTCCTGAGCTCTTTAGGTACCTCTTTCTTGACGTCTGAAAAAAGAGGACGCAATCAAAAGAGGAAAAGAAAGAAAAGTCAGTTGTTTTGAAATGCCTATTCTATGAACACAAGATTTTTTTAAATGTGAATTTTAAGTGCATTTCTCACCTTTGTTCCCCATCCTGCCTTCCCAGAGAATGTCTTGCTCTTTTTCCCTAGTAGAAAAAAAAAAAACATTTTACTTATAAATCTATGATTATGAAAGCATTTTTTTTTCTTAATACCTCTGTCTGTCCTGGTCCAGACTGCTGATAATCTGGTTTCTCTGTTCAATGATAGCCACCAGCTCATCCATGAGCTGCTGCTCCCGCCCTCGATCCTTCTGGCTCCAGTCACTCTCTGTAGGTGCGGTTGACAGTGTGAAAAAAACATCCGTCTTGTAAATCTATAACGCGACATGCGATATGCTGAACGTGCTCACCGGGTTTATTGAGAAGACATCTGAGCTCGTACTCTACATCTGCCTGTCTGTCCTCTAACTTTTGCTGTTTTGACCTGACCAAACAAAACCTTTGTGGGTGAACTGCAGTTGGAAAAATCACAGCATGCACAGCGTGACTTATCAACTTAGCCAAGCATGTGTCTGTGTACTTACAGATAGACCAGTTCTGTATCTTTTCTAGAAAGAATGTGACGCTCGTGGATGAGGGAGAACCACTCTGTGAGCATTTGCTCCTCTTCTTTACCTGAAATGCAGACAGTTTTCAGAGGGAATCATTCGTATTATTGTAATCTGTTATACTGTGCTGGTAACTTATTCATTTTATATGCGGTAAGTAATAGCTAATAAGTTTGATAACTATACTTAGTCTTGGAACAGGCATTTTCCCCTCATATAGGGACAGTGCATGTGTATTTATGTATTTTCAAAAAATCTTTATAATAGGTTTTGAAGGTTCCAAATGTTTTAGTTTAAAATTTGTAATTAGACAATAACATATACATAACATATATAATAGATAATATACATAAAATAATAACATATACAACCATTCTTTTTCATTTCAAACATTAGTGTCTCATACTGGCAACTATGAGTCCAATTGGGAAAAATTGAAAAAACTTAAAGGAATACCGTGGTACAGAGAGGCAGAAATGTGAGGACGCTGGTTCTCACGAGGTTAACTGGAATTGCTGTGAAAGGAAAAGTGAGGACTAGTACCCTTCTTGCAGCCTCTGAGACTCCTCTCTAGTTCAATTCCCCGTTGTTCCAGTGCCTTGAGTTTTGTGTCTAGTTCCTTCATCTGGACCTGCAGGTCCTCCACAGGAACATCCTGCTCTGCCTTCACCTGCGAAGCAACGTATTTATCCCACACTTTTTAGGCTAAAATACACTTAAAAAAGCAATGTGTTTTCTGAGGACTCAGCAGAAAAAACCCCTGCTGAATTGTGACTCTGTGGTGGAAAAAACTATAATATCAAATGAAGGTGGTGTTTCCATATGGAACAAGACAGATTTTTCTTTGCTGTACCTTCCTTTTGATGAGAGGGAAACCGTGGCCGGGGGCGGTGCCCCGACTGGACGAGAGGTCCTGAAAAGTCTTTGACTTGGACATTTCCAGTTTTCTGTTAAAAGGATTTTCTTTACACGCAGTCTGAAGGCAGAAGGAGAAAAAGGGAGATAAACTGTCTCATCTACACAAAGTCAAAACTCAATTAACTCATCTATACATTAAGTTACAACTAATCTATGCTCTTATTATTACCTTACTTTGACGTGGTGTCAGAGGCTCATCAGCCTCCCTCAGCTCCGCTGGTGCTGGGTCAGACTGGGGGGGCTCAGCTGTGATAGCTGGCACTGACAGACTTCTGGGAAAAATGGGACCCTGTGTGTCCGTAACATCTGATGAAGCCACCTGCCGCTCACCTAAAGCCTCCACTGGGCCGGTGGTCGCTGCCTTTGCCGTTTCAGGTGCTGCATCTCCGCCCCCTTTAGCCAAATGTGAGCGGCGGGGTTTATCTGGCAGCTTTCCGGTACTCTGCACGGACTCAACGGGAGGATTGTTGGCACCAAGCACAGAACGCGTGTCCCCGCTCTTTGAATGGACGTCTGCCCCCGAGGGTTTATTCTGGTCGGCTGACTTGAGTTTGGCTTCCTCCCGCAGAGCCTCCTCGACCCCCTCCTCTTCAAATGGATTGGGAGGAGGAGCTCTTGGCCCGCTCCCTGCCGCCCGCGTGTTGGAGACGGTTTTGGAGCGGGGGAAAGGTACGGGAGCTGGAGCGGGAGGCAGCTGCGTCCAGGGCCCCGGGTGCACGATGTTCAGCCACGGATGATTGGTTTGCACTTTAGGGCTCGTGCTGGTTCACAATGGTGCCACCAGGAGAGATAGAACGGATGTTGTCAATAGCTAACTGGAGTTAGCGGAGTTCAAAAGAATGAAGTTGACCATAAGCAACAGAGAACGTTTTCAATATCAGCATGCAGCGGACGGCATATCTACTGATGTCATTACTTTACGTTTAACATGGAAATTGCACACGAGTTTATAAATGTAGAGATTTGATCATTAAGTTACCACAACGCTACGAATAGGAACAGCTAATGACTGCATTAGCATGGCTGCATAACAAGCCCAGATCATCATGCCTCCACTACCGTGTTTGGTTATTAGAAAGAGACGATATGTTGCGTTTGGCTTTAAGCGAGCATTATGACCAAAAATCTGTTCAAAGGACACTGTTTCCATTATTTCACAAGCAGGTACGGGCCAGATTCAGAAAACTTTGCGATTGAAAGAGCATACGATTCCTTTTTTACAATATGACTTGCAAAGAAGGATAAAAATTTGTGGAAAAGGGAAAAGGTTTTTGTGCCCTTACACGTGAGGAGAGGCGAGTTGAGATTCACTTTGACTGTCTGCGATACCTGCAAAGAGAAAGAGTCCTCTTCTGTTATTCTGTTTTTCTGTGATATCTGACAGGCATCTAATACTCGCTAAACGAGTAGGTCAGAACACGGCTCACCTGCAGCGCTCATGGTGCGTGGGGTCCTGGCTCTGGGTGCAGGAACAGGGACGGCAGAGCTGCGTCTGGGTGCCGGGACAGGACCAGGACCTCCTTCACGAGGCGAGGAGAGCTCAGAGATCCTCGCTTCACCACCTGATCTGATGACTGCCTCATTGGTCACGCCACCCTTGTTTTTAACCTCCTGGACAGTGGCCCCTTTTATGCCGGATGGGGGACGACAGCACGGTCCGGCGGTTGAGTTTTCTCCGTCGATCACCTCTTTGCTCCCCTCCTGCTTTCCCACCCAATCGGTTTTACCAACCGGCCTGTCCCGTGACTCCGCCGTCTGAGTGTAACAGGGCACGCTTGTGACAGCCACTCCGTCCAGAGAGTGAAAATCCGCCGGGACTTCCCGCTCGGACCGGTTATTGGTAGATCTAATTAGCTTATTGATGTCAGAGGAGGCGGTCGCGGCCTCCGTAACGTGGTACGCACAGATCAAGGAGCGGGTGTCGGTCCCCTGTGTGTAGGACCCGGCTAAAAGAGAGCAGTGGCACACTTTGCATCTGAAAGAGAATGATGAGACGTACAGCCGTTAACGCACCGACACGATCAGATGTCCACACAGGTTAGACACTATAGTCCAAATTCATCACAAAGTCTAAAACCATTTATTTAAAACAAAGACAACCCACCCAAACAGCTCCCCTGTCTAGTTCTGAGGCTGAAAACATTCCCCTAGATATCCCCATAACTGTGCGTGAATCTCAAATATGACCAGTGGTCACTTGAGACACATTAGGAACACATTCTTAGGTGTGAGGTTCAGTTTATCTGGATTAAAAGCGGCTATTTGGTTGCATCGAAACATAAAAGGAGCGCAAAAAAAAACAACACAAGCCTCTCCAACCTAAAGCAGCTGCGATGATAGGCCTTCCCGTCGATCAGGCGCCGCTGGATGAAGTGGACGGGCTTGAAACACAGGCTGCACACCGTTCGCGTCCTGCTGTTGGCAAAACTGTCTGCTGTGCTGCTTTCCAGATCAGTCAAACTCTAAAAAAGGAGAGGGAGAGACCAGTCGCTCGGATAATTAGCATACCAGCTGAGATTGTTCCCTCAGATTGGAGGGAAGGCGGTAGGCAGTATGGCATCACCTTCAGGTGTGTCTGATCCTCAGTGCTGTCACCCTTTGGGAGGTTGTTCAACACAACGACATGGGATGACCAGGATCTGTAGGGTCCTGCAACACAGCCAGAGGAGGACATGCTAACACAGTGCAGCCGGACATATAAAGCAGCCCCGCTGTTTGCAGATTTCCCTCATATTATGCGAAAACTGGGATATAAAACTGTACATACAAAATACTGTCAATCGTGCAGGTGGAGAAAAAAGGCCAGGCTTTTCAGATAATCTAACCTTAACTAAAGAAGTGAGAAATGGTAAATGTTATAAATACAGACAAACTGTGATCCAGGCTCAGTATATTCTTCAATCTGTACAGCATGGTCTTTTTTTTTGCTATTGATTTGTCTGATTGCTAAGATAAATCCAAAATAAAGAATTAATTCTGAAGGAAAATATCGGAATTGCAAAATAGGTGAGACAGACACACCTCAGTAAATAATTTATTCTACAAAACAACGTTGAAAGGAAATATTTCTATTGAAACACACTATTTTCATTCTAAATATAGCAGCAAAGAGCTACTTTTTTGTGTGTGTGATGGACAATTAAGCTGACGAGAAAAGGGTAGTTGTTATTCCAGTTTGGCACTTTAAAAAAAAAAAGGTTGACACATTTGACTTTCAAAATCAAATATAGGGAGATTTTAGGAATGACTAAGTAAACATCCTGACTTTGATCCAGTGAGGCAGAAACGGCCTCAAGACTGGAGTTGATGTGAGGAAACCGGGCAAAATCTGAGCGTTTTAATTACAGGAAATGTTTAGCTCCACTTATGGCCGCAGAAAGAGGTCACACCTAATACTGTAAACAAAAGATCTGATGATTTTCTTTAACAAACAGATGTTGACGTAAAAAGCTTTTTGTAGATCTACTGTGAGGAAAAAGAAAGAAAAAAACGTCACATGTTCACATGATCATACATGATTAATGGTACAGATACGAGGCAAAGTGCCTCTTTTCTTGTTCTTTTGCTACAGATAAACACAGAGGGAAAAATTAAGGTTTTGATCAACGCACCATAAGACTTCCCGTTGAAGAAGTAATAGTACTGAGAAATGTAGCTGATGACGCCCAGACAATCGGGCACCTTGGTGAGGATCATGTCCTTCGGATCCAGCAGTGCAGGGATCCCCAGTTTGGTTTCTGCAACCTCATATGCCTAAAGAACCAAAAAGATGAAAAGAAAAGGAAGACAGGTCGTCTCTCCCCTTACAGCATGGTAGTGATCAATATACTGCCAGTCAAACATGGTGTGGAGGGGGATATGTTTGAATTCTGACTTGTGACTCACCAGTTTGTTATTTTCGTAAACGTTATCTTTGGAGAGGGAGCTGAAATCACTAGAGAAGGATGAAGAAAAGGGAGAGGATTGTTAACTGCCAATGAAAAGACACAGTCAACAACAGTCAACAACAGCCTGCACACAACATGCCAAATGAATCATTCAAAGGATGAAAAGAAGTTCAATGAAATAATTTCAGGTTGGCGGTGGAATGTAAGAGGTACAAGAACAAAAAGCAGGCCAGTTGATCCCATTAAACTGGACGTGAAAAGGTTAAGAAGAAAGACAGACACAGATTAAGACCAGGACAGCAGATTAGTCCCGGGGCGGAGTGTGCAGGTTCCCCTGCACACTCTTCTGGGATTATACAGAATGTCAACGTAAAGAGGTCCCAGCCAAGTGAACAAGTCATGCAACAGGCAAAACACCCCATTAAAGATGACGACACTTGTAATGTTTTCGAAATCAGAGGATTTCAAAGCGTTCTGCCACACAAAACCATAAACAGGAAGCGGTGCAGACTTACTTACGAGGACATCTTCATACTTTTTGCTCTACTTACATCAAGTGAGGTCGGTGCTTGTGGATGATGGCGCAAAATGCCAGTCCATCCCTGAATGAGGATGACATGTCCTTTATTTCCACGTCGGGGTAACCGGCGCATGTAACTCGGCACCATTCTCGTAAAGTCTTGGGCGAAGCCATTCCTTGTGTGAGATCTGACGACTGGCACGGGCGAGCATGGCACTGCGCCCGTTAGGTGTCAGAAAAACCACGGCCAGGTTTGGTTTTGTGAAGAGAACAGGAAATAATGAGCAATCTCTACCGCTGAGTCTCTGCACAATACCTGTGGCCACATTTGCGCATCGACTTGACGAAGCAGCAGAAAGGAAGTAAGAACGTTTTTTTTTTTTTTTTTACCACTATAGTTGTTCTTTTTTTCTTCAAATAAAGACTTGCTTTTCCCCGCTGCGCAAGCTGAGAGCCCTTTCAGCGCTTTTTAACTCAACTTTCTTTCTTACGACTCGTCTCCTACGCACGGCGCTCACTTTCTCCGCCGCAAACTGACAACCAGCTCCCCAGCGACGTGGACCCCTTTTCCAAAGATGTCCAGTGCCACGTGAACTCTCGATCTCTTTGACAAAAGTGGAATTAATTCAAACTCAATGCCGTGACTCGCCGCGCTCCCTCTCATTGTGGTCCACCATAACGGAACATGACCAATAGCTGCCGCTAGAGGGAGACGCAGAGCTGCCGCCTCTATAATTAGGAAGGGGAGGTTTCTTGTTACAAGTTTGTTTCTCTCCTGCAAACACGTCTCATGTTTTACAATTTCCAAGTCACATTTACATGTTTACTCTGTTCGACCAAGATAGATGTAAGACCGCCATTTGCTAATCTATACATGTTTTGCCTAACCTGTATTCATTGTCATCATCACTGTAGAGATTAGTACTCTGTTTGTTTGTTTTTTAACGACGGGAAATCCAAATTGAAAATAATGTGGAGTAAAGTGTATTCATTTTTAACATAGTTATGTCAATATGTTTTAAAGGGGGTAGACACAGTGTTTTCTCTATTTTACTTTTCTTCCCGTGATTTCCGGTGTGATTCAATTTTTGCGCTTGATGGGATTCAAGATCATAGACATAGTTTTCCTAGAATAGGAATACCCCCTTGTACCAGCGCATAATAATTCACGGTGCATATTTTAAAAGTTTAGAAATGAACGAATAATACTATTTTCACTGTGTTTACGTGTGTTAAATGCCTTTAGAGTCCACGATGTCTCGGAAAATACCTGCTTCTGTTCTACACACTCAAAGTCTACGTCGATTCGCTTTGCTTACGTCCGTGTGTCTCTCGCGAGACTGAAGGATCACATAAATCTCGTAGCAATGGCTGCGCCGCCCGACACGGAGAGTTTGGAGTCTCATATCAGTGAGTATTTCGTTAGTTTTTCATCGCGCCGGTGCTGTCTGGACACCTGGATGTTGTTGAGTTACCGTCTGTTAGATGCAGGCGAAATGCCATCTCATTACAACCTTTACGAGCCCCTGAGAGTGGACTCGTACCCGACCGTCTCAGCAAGGATGCTAAAGCTAGCTCCCGAGCTCTACCTGCCAGCTGTCAACACTCCGAACACAGCCAGGCGTAGCTTTAGCTTTACGGCCCCCCTGCCTGCCCAAAGCAGGTCGTGGGCGATAAGACCACCTCGTAATCAGTTTTTAGTCACGTAGTCTTCATTTTGGTTTTTCCCAATACTTTGAACTCTTTAGAAAGATCGAGAAGGCACAGGCACAACACCGAGAACAGCAAGCTAGCTATCGTGACTCTGAGTTAGCACCTATGCTGTGTATTTGTCTGTTCGGTGTCAATTTTAGACCGTGGTGTCACACAGCGCTGTTCTGCTTGCTAACTTCATTATTCTTGGTGTATTATCCTTGCACAAATCAATTCCATCCATGCTATTTTGTGGCTGCTTGACCGAAACATAAACTTTTAATTGCCAGATTATTAGCCAGTCCTGGCCAAAATGGAATACCAAAACAGTGTCTCACGTTTTAATGAAACTATTGTAGTTAATGTATTAATTCCACTTTGCTTATTTTGGAGGCTGAAGTTGGACTGTGTTGATTAGTACTATTAGTATTCAGTGTGTTGGCAAGGATTAAGAAGACCCTGTCCCCAGAAATGAAACATTTTAAAATGACGAAATGTTTAGGAAATGTGACCCTCAATACCTCACTGCAACCATTGTTATTCCATTGTATTCAAACATTAGAATAACAATGCTATCGTTCTCCATTAAACTTGACCGTGTCCCCTATCTCCTCAGTTGGTTGATATCCCTTGTGCTACTATTTTAGACAGAGCAACAAATCCACTAAACAAAGACACAGACTGGAGCAGCATCCATGCCTTCTGCGACCAGCTCAACAATGATTTGGAGGGGTAAGAGCACGCCCAAGTACTAATGCTTATGCCTTGTTTAGAAATGATTGTTTTTCATATCCGAGGATGGCTGCTTTAATTATTTATGTGTTTATTTTGTTGTCATCACTGCTAACTGGGAGGGAGAGATTCATGTCTGTTTATTTCACGCTTTTTAAACAGCACAAAATGTTTTTAGACTAAATCTAGAAATGTGTTGCAGACCTCAGCTGGCAACCAGGCTGCTCGCCCACAAGATCCAGTCCCCACAAGAGTGGGAGGCCATGCAGGCACTGCTCGTGAGTTCACAACCAAATCGGAGTCCGTCGTGTAGAATTAGCCGACTCTGCCAAGCAAAGTAATTGTATCACCTTTCAGCACTTTTTTGAGATTGTGTGTCTTATGTCAAGGTTCTGGAGACATGTATGAAAAACTGTGGGAAAAGGTTTCACAGTGAAGTGGGCAAGTTCCGTTTTCTCAATGAGCTAATCAAGGTGGTTTCTCCAAAGGTAAGTCTTGATATGTCTACATGTACATAGAGACATTAAAACGGATCATAAAAAGAGTTCTTTTGTCGAGTGGAAATCAAAAAATAGGGTTTTGTGCTCTGTCCTCCTGCACAGTATTTAGGCTCACGGTCCCCTGAGCCTGTCAAACAGAAGGTTTTTGAGTTAATCTATAGCTGGACCTTGGGGTTACCGGATGAGGCCAAGATTGTGGATGCCTATCAGATGCTGAAGAAACAAGGTAAGAGGATGTTAGTGAAAAGATTATTTCATATTTAGTTTGAATATGAACTATCGCTACATATACATTCTTTTAAAGAGCATAAGAAACTAATAACCAGTAATAATAGACCTTTATGCCTTTCCCTGTTTGTTCCCTGTTTCTGTAACTTAGGCATTATTAAACAAGACCCAGAGCTGCCACCTGACAAACTACTGAACCTTCCTCCGCCCAGACCTAAGAATGCCATTTTTGAGGACGAGGAGAAGTCGAAGGTAAATAATTTTTTCTAATAACATGCAATAATCGGCTATATGAAATGACAGTATGGTGTGAGGAAACGCCGTCAGCTCACTCATTCCTCGCCACCTGAACTCTGACCTTTTGCTCTGTCAGATGCTGTCTCGCCTGTTAAATAGTTCCCACCCCGAAGACCTAAAAGCTGCAAACAAACTCATCAAGGAAATGGTTCAAGAGGTGAATTCTCTTAAAACTGGCTATATTACTGCTGGGCTCTGCTGTTGCATGTAGTAAAAAAAAAAAAGAAAAAAGTGTGAATAAAAAAAAGACAACTTATAACAGATTCACACCCTTCATTTTAATTTAGTTTATTTTGAGAATCCAGCTTTTGTACGTGCTCATGCGTGTTTTTTATTTTATTTTTAGGATCAGAAACGAGCAGAGAAGGTGTCGAAGCGAGTGAACGCCATTTCGGAGGTGAAAGAGAGTGTCTCTTTGCTGACTCAGCTCCTGCAGGACTACGACAGCAGCGCCGCCACTCAGAGCAACACCGAGCTGTTACAGGTGAAACAGCCCCCGCCCGAAAACCTTCCAGTCACTCGGATGTGCAGTCCCTTCTGCCTATAAAGCAAAAACTGAGGCCCAATGGCAAGCGTGTGATGTGAGGTTTGTGTGGTCAGGACCTGTACCAGCGCTGTGAGAAGATGAGGCCCACGCTCTTCAGGCTGGCAAGTGACACCGAAGACAACGACGAAGCTCTGGGTGATTCTCTGCTATTTCATCAGCTACTAGATTAAACGTAGAGGGAGAGAATCTCTCCCTTTCTTTTAAAAAGAAAAGAAAACATGTTGTTTTTAGATTTCTGAATTCATCACCTACTTAATATATATATCTCAGTGTATGTTTTAAAAAATATATACATTTTCATTTTGTGAAATGGGATTATCTAGATCTCATTAGCTCAGGTAACTAATTTTATGAGCACTATGTTCTTATTAAATGGTATTTTTCAAGTATTTAGTTTTTTCCTTTGTCGGAGCCAACAGCAGTTTTTCATACTCTCGCTCGAACTGAATTAAGTGAAAAAAACTCAAACTAGGAGCTCTGTCTCCCACCTCCCCACAGCGGAGATCCTCCAGGCCAACGACAGCCTGACCACCGTCATCAACCTCTACAAGCAGCAGGTGAAGGGGGAGGTCATCAACGGAAACAACACACCAGGCGCACAAAAACCAGCAGGCAAGTTACACTGGGGGTGTTTAAAAAAAAAAAAATCTATTTAAAGTAGCAGTATGAGTGAAGACAAGGTGACAGGAGCACTTTGAGATGAGCTGTTCTGGACGTATGTGGCACAGGGGGAACGGCACTGCTGGACCTGTCAGGACTGGACACCTCGCCCCAGTCGCCCCCCTCCTTCCCCGAGTTCCCCACCCCAACGGACAGCCTGAACGCGCCCTCGCAGGAGATGGGGATCAGTCTCCTTGACGACGAGCTGATGTCACTCGGTAACACCCCGAAAGTGTGCTTTGGATTTGTGTAGAGCTGTCGCTTTTCGTTTGAACACGCGGAGCTCTAATCCCAGACTGAGAGAAAGCAAACGGCTGTTTGTGCTGTGATGCAGGTTTGAGTGAAGGAACGCATCCCTCGCACCCGGAGGACTCCACAGCCTGGGATTCCTTCCAGGTGAGGGGCGGTGCTTTGAGGAGCCGTGTTGGAACGCAGGTGATTTTAGTGGATATGTTCATGGCTCCAGCGGCACTCACCTCTCTCTGCCTGCAGTCCTCGGACAGCATAGACGCAGATATCCCCGCAGCTCCCGGCCGTCTGCTGAGCCCCGACCCGCCTCCCCTCCCTCAGCCCCTCTCTGCCGGCTCCACCCCGGGAAACTCTGCCCTGGACGAGCTGGACCTGCTGGGAAAGACCCTGCTGCAGCAGTCTCTGCCGCCGGAGGGCCTGCAGGTCAAATGGTATCTAAGAAAAGAAACAGAGTGCTTTTACATTACTGCTAACAGAAGGGAAATAACTGTTAGCTCCGCTAACACACCTTGAGTGAGTCCTTTATATCCGTGTTGTTTTTCCTCTCCAGGGATCGGCAGCAGTCAAAACCCACTCTTAGAGATCTTCAGAGCAAGTCGGGGGCCAGCGTCGCCCCGAATCCCCTTTCCGCGTTGGCGCCGGATCATCCCACTCCTCTTCTCAACTCTCAGCCCAACCCCAAAGCCTCGCTGCTGGATGAGTCCCCCGCCCACACACAGAGCCCCCCCACACGGGTTTCCCTGACCGACGTTTTTGTACCGCTAGAATCCATAAAGCCCAGTAAGTAATCCCACAGACCAGCTATACGGCTTTGGCTTCTGAGCTGCTTTAAATTGTACAAATTCACGAGTGCGGGGCGTTCGAGTGCAGTTGGGATTTTGCACGTCATGCAAATGTTTGGGTCCACCTCTCCAGGGCTCTCAGAACCAAATAGAATGCCTTCATTTATGTGTTATGTTGTGATTTTTAACTTTTTTCCCCATGTGACATGACTCCCACCTGCTTTAACTGCATCTGCAGCACATAAACAGGCAAACGTCTAAACTGCTTTTTGCCCTCCGCTGCTCCAGGTAGTCTGTTACCTGTGACCATTTTCGACGGAAACAGCCTGCGGGTCCTCTTCCACTTTGCTCGGGACTCGCCCCCGTCCCGACCGGACGTGCTGGTGGTCATCATCTCCATGCTGTCCTCGGCGCCCGCTCCGGTCACCAACATCCACCTCCAGATAACCGCTCCGCAGGTCAGCAGCTGGACTCTATTTTTTTTTTTGTCTTTTTGAAGACCTGGCCACTCCCGTCTCGGTAAAGACTGACCCTCTTTTGTCTGTGACCTGCAGTCGATGGCGGCGAAGCTCCAGCCCCCGTCGGGAACAGAACTCCCAGCTTTTAACCCCATCCTCCCCCCGGCTGCCGTCACGCAGATCCTGCTGGTAGCGAACCCAAAAAAGGTAGGCAGAGGTTTCCATTGACCAAAGGAAACCATTAAAGTGGCTGAAGGAGATGTGGGGAACCCAAAAACTAAACCAAAGGGGTTTCTGTGTGCGTTTCAGGAGAAGGTCCAGCTGCAGTACAGATTAACCTTCAGCATGGGGGAGCAGGAGCACAATGAAAGCGGGAGTGTAGAACAGTTTCCTCCCCCGGAGAAGTGGGGGAACCTATAGCACCCAAACACTACCGGACAGACTCTCTGCTTTCAGGCCCAGCACCCCCCCCCCCCCCGCCGCCCAGTCCAGCTCAGCTCGGCACCCCTCAGAACCCGTTTTCCTTCACGAATCATGTTGTACTTTCTTTGATTGGTATTCTTTTCTAGGAATTATCATCATACTCGTGCTCAGTCGTTGTAAAGTACGCCCTAAATTAGTGTGTCTAGGCCTAGTCTGCTGTGTGTGTGTGTGTGTGCGTGTGTGGCTTCTTTCAAGGAAAGTCTGCAACTGAATCCTGGAAGTCGTTATAGCTTTTTTTCCTTTTTATTTTTTTGATACATAAAAAAAGGGAAGGAAGCTGTAACCAATATGAGCCATTTGTGCATTTGGTGTGCTAATCTCTTTTTTTTTTCTCCTCTTATTCTCCTCCTCCACATTGGGCTGTCAGATTCGATATCAGTTGTTTACATTCACCTCAGCATGATCCATGGATATGGCACACTAGGTTTTACGAAACTCTCTGGCAAACATAACTGTTTGCAAAAAAAAAAAACAAGGCTGTCATCATTCAAGTGTGTTGAGCTTGTGATTTTGACTTGCTTTACTCACACTGACCGAGTTACTTTTGATTGCACAGAGAATGATCCTTTTAATGGTTCCCCTGAATCCGATTCAAAGAACAAAAGTCTGCTGTAAGATCAGAGCTGTGTATCTTTGCCACATGTGCCTCTTTTACGGTTGTAACATTATTTAAGGTGTAATGCTTCTGAATGGATTTATTTCTCATCTGTGACGTGTTAATTATACTGGGACCGCTGTTTGTTTGGAATATAGAATAACTACATCTTAATATATTCATCTTTACTACAATTTTAAGTTCTATTGATGATATTCTTTAGATTTTTTTTTTTTTAAGAGTGTATTAACTAAAACTGAAAATCCAAAACTTGAGTATATGCAAAGCGAGCCGTGTCTGGGGCTCTGAGCTCGCGGTCCATCTCAAACAGGTCCATCCTGACTTAACCTGCGATGCATGTCAACCGAGCTGAACATTCTTTCCCCCCCCCCACAGGCTCTCCACCGCATTCCACTGCTCTAATTTTCAAGTTTCGCTTTGTAAATGCCAGATCAGCTCTGTACATTTGACCTGTACAGTGTGTAAAAGTGTCACACTGATACAATATTCCAAATGGGAAATAAAGTTTTGATTGTTTGTTTTTTTCTTCTTTGCTGATCTGGATGAATGTTTTGTGGAGAAGAATAGGAAGCTGACAGCAGTGACTCAGCAGGACACGGATACACCGAAGAGCTTTATTAAATGTGAAAAGCAAATTGTAGAAAGGGACTTACTGTCAACTAGGAAATCGCAATCACAACTCCAAACGGGCGACCGACTTAATACTTTACCCTAAAATGGCTCTCAGGTTCAGTCCCATGTCCATGCATGCTATGTGTGAAACAAAATGCTAATAGGGGGGGAAAATGAAACCTTGTGACATCTTTTGGATTCTTTTAGCTAGATTGGAATCTCTTTTCCTGTCTAACAAACCTTCAAACCACAAAAATAAAGTTACCTCTGAAACTGCAACAAGCTTGCCATAACTTCACTTACCTACACCTACCTGTTAAACACCTGGAAAAAAACAAAAAAACATTTCTGATAAACTAGGTTAATTAACAGCCAGTCTCCTTTCAAACAAAATAATGGAAATAAGGGTGGATTCAGCTCCAAAGAACGGTGACGCTCCTCTGAAGAGCTCATCACGGGAATGTCGGACTCAGAACCTGACCCAGACCTCCGCCTGGCCTGGTCTGTGCTTATTTTTGCCCTGAGAGGGAGGGTGGAGTGGGAGTGAACTGGTATGATGAGTGCCCCATCAGGCCCATCATGGGCTGGGGCAGGTTGATCTGCTGGGCCATTAAAGGCTGCGGGCCGGACGAAGGGGGCAGGGCTTGCCCCGACCCCGATCCGGAGCCGTTATTATTCTGGAACTGCTCGGTGGATCCGGCCCCGTAGCTGCGTTCTCCGTCCCGGCTGCTGCGGTCCCTGTAGGAGGAGGAGGAGGACGAAGAGGAGCGTTCACCGTCCCGGCTGTGTCCGGATCGGCCGTAGCCGTTGCCTCGGCCGTCCTTGGAGCTGCCCCCCCCGCCGCCGCCGCCGACCGAGCGCATCCTTCTGTCGCATTCCTCCTGGTACATCAGGTTGGGGTTGTTGGAGTCGGAATTGGAGCCGCGGAAACGGGAGCGCCCGCCTGGGAAGAAAAGCCCCTTCTTAGCACCTTAGAAAAACGGCTGTGAGTTTAATCTGCCTGACCTGCTGCCCTCACCTCCGGAGCCTCCCCCGCGGCCGGTGTCCACCAGCTGCAGCAGCTTGGGGTTGATGGCCTGCCGGGCCTCCTCCAGAACCCGGATCAGCTCCCGGCCCTGCCGCTGGTTCCCGGGGGTGAAGAAGGTGTAGGCCGTGCCCTTGTTGGTGCTGCGGGCCGTGCGGCCGATGCGGTGGATGTAGTCCTCCGACGAGTTGGGGTAGTCGTAATTGATGACAAACTTGACGTCCTCCACATCTTGACACATGGGGCAGTACAGGTCAGAAGGTGGCATTAATGGGTCAGTTACAAGGGGAGCGGGGGGGGGGAGACAAGAGAGTTAGTCAAAACAAATCCAACTGAATGGGAACTGAATGAGTTCATTGAGTTATTTTGGGAATTCTAAGTTTTGGCTTTAAAGCCAGGGATAACCTGTAAGACTCACATCACCTTCTAGAAGAATCTTTCACTTTTCAACACAAATACACTGCTGAAGAATACTGATTAAAATCCAAATTATAATACTCAATCATAAAAAATCTAGGTAATTTGGTTGATGTAAAAACAGATTTGGACAAAGTGACCCCAACACTGATGAGATTCTTGTGTAAAAAGACACCACAAGTAGTTGATTAGTGATTTCAAACTTGATCTCAACTATCTCAAATTGGAGGTCTGTTTCTCATTACAGGGGCTCAGAAAAACTGATCAGAGGGAAAAACCATTGTTGTTTTGGAAGCATGATGGAGAAGCTTGACGGGGGAGAAAATGGGAAAGGAAAAGGGGGGGGGGGTGTTAGGGACAGTACTCACCCTGAATCAGAGACTTAGTGAGGATAAACAGAGGGACCCCTCTGTCCCCCCAAACCCATCACCAGTCCTGGGAGGTCTGCGGGGGGACGAGGAGAGCGCGGGGGACTAAAGCGGTCCCTCCTCCCGCCTCGCCACTCCTCCACAACACTCCCAAAGCTGGAGCCTTTCTGGACAAGGCTGGACTGTGGGCTGGCATGCGGTCCTACTCTAGCCTCAACTGTCTTCAGAACTGCTGGGTCTATGTGGTTTCTAGCTGGAGGAGGCCAGTGATAAGCGCTTTTCGGATCCTCCTCAGAAGGACCGACTGAGGTGTTCTTAAACGTGTTGCTTCTGACCAGACAGCGGGTCAGTGGGACGGGGAGACGTTTCTAATCAGCTTTCATTGGTTGGGTGGGTTCCAAATGCTTCCCAAGTTTAAGTAACTAAAAATAGACTAAAGGGGCCGAGATGTGGGCGTGTTCAGTGGGTTCCTGACAGGTTTGGAAGATACTTGATATGATGTATTGAAAAAGACGAAAAAAAAACAAAGGTGATGAATCTAGGGCAAGAGTGTAGACGCAGAAAGCGTGAAAGACAAGGGTTGGGGGGGGGGAATGGTTAAGAGAGGGACAAATGAGAGAAAGGAGGACACGTTTGGGATAGGAAAAGTGCAAGAGGGAGACAACTGAGTAGAGAAATGAGAAAGGCTGAGAGAGAGAGAGAGAGAGCAGCGAAAGGGGAGGAAACTGATCGGAGGTGGTCCCTCCAGGCCAGGACTCCTGCCAGCCAGGACCAAGCATGACGTCCGTAGAGGGAGGGGCCGGCCGGAACAGCCAGTGCAGGGGGGCGTCGGGGGCTGGCACCAGGGGGCTGGCATCGGGGGGGCAGGTCAGAGGGGAGCCTCACTTCCTGGCGGGTTGTCTCTGTCTTCTTGTAAACACACCATGTCTTTTCTTATGGTTTGTGTATTCACGGTCTAAATTAGGTTCAGATTGAACTGTCCAGGGCTTGTTAAAGGGTATTGGAATGCATCTTCTGATAAAAAATATATATTTTGGTGAATTAATTTACAAAAAAAGTCAAATTAGAATGAATGACTGTGACCTTGGCGGGCCAAAGGGACTCCACCCTCCTCCACACCCCTCTTCGCCCTCTCACCTGACAGCCGCCCCCACCCCCAACCCCTTGCTCAAATTTGGAAGCCCAGCAGCATCTTAGGCCTGTGCCGCCCCCCCCCATTTCTTCACCCCGGTGTCCAGGTCACCAGTGTCCTGGACGCAGGGAGGGGGAGGGTTTAGTTAGCGGGCCGTGTTCTAGCTTTTCAGTGATTAATCGGGCCGCTTTCTCTCCCCGAGTCGGCTTTCGGTTTGTCATGCCTAGGTCCGGCTGCAGGCTCCCGAGGGCCTGTGTGCTTCTAGATGCCGGAGGAGAGACTTGGAAAACAAACAAACAAAAAAAAAAAAAAAAAAAAATGAAAAGAAAACAAATGAACACAGAGTTAGGTTCAAAAGTTAACCGCCGTCCTGCGAGGGTCCTGCTGTACGAGCAGCACCCCCCACACTGTCACACTTCCTCAGTAGCATTCAAAAGGACCCAAAAAAGGGATCGCATGAGGCCTAGATACACATTATCTGTGAGGACTTGTGTTTTCTCTGACAGAAAATCAAACCCATGTGTCTGGAGCTCCATCCTGCACACTCTACTCAATGTTAGCATACAGCTGAACAATTATCGTATTTTGACCACTGACGTATATAATGTTTGCGTCCCATATCATATGTGGTTATTCGGAGAAAGTAACCTGCTTTGCAGGACATACCTAAACCACGGGAGGCCACGTCGGTAGCAATGAGGATGGGAGCTTTGCCGCTACGGAACTCTGCAACAAAAGTATCAGAGCATTTTAATATTTTTTTAGCGTTAGCATCAAAAGAAACATAAAGTTATTAAAAGACATTGATTACTCAAGTACTTAATCAGATTATGCTGCACTAAAAATTAGGGGCACAGAAGAACTTAAAGTAGGTTAAGGCTGTAAAGACATCGGATCGGCAACCGGTTTCCAAAAAGTGAGCCTGTAGAAGAAAATTATTTTTCCGTCGTACTTTCTCTGCTTTGAGGCCAGTGAGTGAAACCTGTATTCCCTACGGCAAAAAGCTACAAATGATGATGTTTAATTGTTTATCCTTTCTTCAAGGGTGGGCAAATGTTTGGAAGGCATATTTAAAGGAGCGGCTTTAGGGTCGACAAATTAAATAAAGGGAGACGTTTCTTTACCTGACAAAACCCAGTCTCTCTCGGGCTGACTCTTGTCCCCATGAATACACATCGCTGGCCACCTAAAGAGAGAGGCCAGAAACCAATCAGACAGGAAGGGATAAAGCGTCAGAACGAGGCGAGTGGGTCTGGCGATGCACTCACCCGTCGCGTCTCATCCGGCGCGTGAGGTCATCACAGCGTCTCTTGGTTTCAGCAAAGATGATGGTTTTGTTCTCCTTCTCGGCCATGATCTCTTCCATCAGCTGGATCAATCTGGGGGGCAAAGGAACAATATCAACACATACCCCTCACTTAGGGATTATTCTGTGTTTACTTTGTAGGACTTTCATGTAAAACAGGGAACATTATACATAATCCAGATGTAATATCATGATGGAAGACGTGCCATATGAGCAGTTGGCTTACTTTTGGTCCTTTTCGTTCTCCATACAAACATCAACAATCTGAAGGATGTTGTGGTTGGCGCTGAGCTCCAGTGCTCCAATGTTAATTTGGACGTAATCCCTCAGGAAGTCCTCTGCCAGCTGGCGGACCTCTTTGGGCCACGTGGCGCTCCACATCAGGGTCTGCCTGTCCGGCTGCACCAGGAGCACAAGAATGTTAAGTTAGTTTCTGCAAGATAAGTAAGTAAGTAAAAAAGCAAGGGCATTTTTGTTTCTATAAAACATATATAGATATGAGATAAAGAAGTGAGTTTTAGCCTCACCCTGATCTGGTCCACAATTTTGCGAATCTGGGGTTCGAATCCCATGTCCAGCATGCGGTCGGCTTCATCCAAAACCAGGTATGTGCAGCGCCGCAAGTTCGTCTTCCCCCCCTCAAGAAAGTCAATCAAACGACCCGGAGTGGCAATGCAGATCTCCACCCCTAAAAGAGACGAATTCTAGATGTCTAACTGTATGATGCCCTGCTGGAATGAATAAAACAGCCCCTAGCCAAGCTGTTGCCTTCACCTCTCTCCAAGTCCCGGATCTGGGGTCCTTTAGGGGCACCCCCGTACACACAGGTGCTTTTGATCCGGGACGCCTTCCCATAATCGCACGCCACCTGCTGGACCTGCTGAGCGAGCTCCCTGGTGGGAGCCAGCACCAAGCACTGGGGGAAGAAATACAAGTCAGATCACAGCTATGTGTTTTCTGGTGTCAGACGCAGGAGAGGAACGTACAACAGGTCCGTCTCCTCGCTCCAAGTAGGGCTGATGGTTGATGTGCACAATGGCAGGCAGGAGGTACTGAAGAGAGAGAAGGAAAATCAGTGGATGGTGCTGCCTTGAGTATAATGAGCCTTTAAAGGGCACAAGGTGGAAGTAGATGTGCCTCACCGCTAAGGTCTTCCCGGAGCCGGTCTGGGCGATGCCCACCATGTCCCTCCCACTGAGGGCCAGAGGGAACCCCTGGGCCTGGATGGCTGTGGGCTCTTTGAAATTCTGCTGCACCAGTACGTCGATCACGTATTCTGGACAAAGAATTTGATTATTTCAGACACAGACGACTTTATTTCCACATGCGTAGAAAAAGATGGGTGGCCTTACGGGGAAACTGTGCCTGCTGGAAGCTGAGGACAGGCTTTGGGCAACCCGAACCACGAATGGTGATCTCCTTCTTCTTGCGGTACTCCTCCATTTCAGACTGGGAGCAAAGGGACAACAAACCACTGGATTAACCAGCAACAACCAAGCAGCTTTATCTATATGTATTTTCTTAACTGACTAAAGGAGGAAGCTTTAATAACTCTGAATACCTGGGTCATTCGCTGCACTTCCGGGTGTTCATTGTAAAAGTTCTTCTCAAATTTGGGCAGCTCGTCCAAGTCCCATCTCTTTTTCCGCAAACGGTCCCCCGGGTTCCCAAACTTTTTACCGGATCGCGAACTGCTGTGTCATAAAAACAAAACAGGGGGGTTTCACAGACTGTGGGAATAGTCATGCCTTCGCCTCTGCCAAGACGTTATCAGAAATATAAGAACCTATTTAGGTAATTCTGCTATTAGCTCGCAAGGTAAATAACGGATGCTTCCAGATATTTCCTCACCCTCTGTCACGGCCACGGTCTCGCTCCCTGTCACCATAAGAACCCCTCATGTTAGGTGACACGTTGAGGATGGATTAACCAGTTATTTAAATACGAAAATTTTAGTTTTTGTTGAGTCGTTTGGTTTTCTGGCCTTTACTAAGAGGCACAGCAGCTATATCCGACACGTCCACCAACAAGTGCGAATGGTAACCTTGACCGAAGACTAAAGGAAATGTAAAACTTAATTTCTTTAATAGACCCGAAAATATTAGGACAATTAATGCGACATTGTGAATGTTGGTGGTGATAAATGTAGTTAACGTTAAGCTAAACTGACTTGGTATAGGGCTACCGTGTGTAGCAATGCTATGTTGTTGTTAGCTTATAGCCGGCCAGCGGAAGTTTATGTGATTGGTTAGACTCAGTTAGCCCCGCCCATATAAATGATTGACATTTCGTAGCAATCGTCTTCACATTCTCTGGTCTTGTGTATTTTTCTTTTTAAGTTGATCATTAAAAAACTTTTTCCCGAGTATTAATTTTGAATTTAGTTTTTTTTTTCAAACACCGTAGCAGTGTCAGTTGTGGATGCTTTCTGTGTAATTAAAATGACTGTAGAATAAAATTCAGACTCACTGCACAACATCCCAAAAAACACATCCTACTTTTAATTGCCGTTTTATTTCCTTTGCACGCCAAATGAAATCAAAATAGCACCAAAACATGAGATATTACCAATATACATATTGAAAATATACAAAAAACAGAACATAAGACGTATGAATATTCAAATGCAAAGTATTTAAACAAAGCAGTGCCAAGCAATGCCGTAACAATCACAGTCATCACCATGAATAAATCACAGTGCTTTCTCTATTCACGCAGCTTTGTGACTAACTACAAATAGTATCATCATTCTTTTTTAAAAACTGTACCAGAATCAAAATTGCAAAAATAAAAACAAAAAACGGGGGCTAAATATACCTAAATAGCCTGTGATTTTCCATCTGCAGTAACTTTATGTCCATTTATAGAAGAAATGTACTTAACTCTGAAATTTACTTAAGTACTGCAGGTTCAGTAGTAAGACAAGGAGGGTATTTGTTATTCAGTGCACTGGCTGATGGTTAGCAGTCAAAGCTGTGAAAAAAATGTAATATATCTTGTCTATTCGGCTGACTTTGAACCACTTTAATTCTTGGTTTGGTCACCACTTTTTGTTCTCCGTGTTTACCTGCAGCCACTAACAGAAGTCAAATACCACACATTGTTGGGATGCTACAATCAGACTAGAAAACATATATTCATAGACAACAGGCTTAATGAATTCAGTCCAAGAGAGCTGCTCTTTTTTCCCTTTTTTTTGTAACTGCTGTGTTCGACCATTAAATACCTAGAAATACAATCACAAGCCACTTACATACTGGCCACTGCGCAAAATAAACATGAGATATTAGTGTATAAAGAATTAAATTAAATATATTTAGCCACTGTGGGAGAAAGATGATTAACACCAGCAGATATCTAGGCAGCATACACACATCTCTCCATAAATCACTGCTTAATTATATCCTCTATTAACTTTGCAACTTTTAAACTGACATATTTTCAAATATTTGTGTGTGTAGGCATATGTTATATGTATTCGGAATATAAACCCAGTCAGCTCTAAAGCCTTACCCAGTAGGCCTTTCTGTCTGGTTAGTGTCTCCCTGGTCTTCTGCAGCATAAAGAGGCGCCATTACAAGCAGGGCCGGCAGAGGCAGGCCGTCTCTGTGGCTGCGTGGAACACCATTAATTATGAGATTACAGTCTACAGCATATCACAGCTGGGCCAGCTCCGCAGAAAGTGCAGCTTCTTCAGTAATCTGTAATCCACGTGGTTGCTGTCCTTCCGTCTGGCCCTCCACCCACGCTAAAAACCTCCCGTACAGCTGTTCCCTCAGCTTTGCACGACCCATGCACTACACCAAGAGCTGGACCTGATATCACACAAGTCACGATATCAAACAAAACAATAATGGTACAGAGTATATTTAAAACATCTCTAGAGTAATTCTCCAACAAACTAGTCTGTGAAAGAGTGAAACCTTCCAATTCATACTACATTGAATATATAAAATAATTATTTGTATTCAACTCTTAATGAAACCCAGCAAGTCAAAGGCTCCTTCCATATGCTGGACTGTAAAGCAATCCTGAACTTTAAGGCAGAGTGTCTCAATACGCAAAGTATGGGACACTTGCCTGTCATTTTTGGCAATTTTTTTGGAACACGTTGCCATTCGTTTTCAGATGAAGATGGCACTTATCTTTTCTGGCGGAAACTGAGAACGATTCTGCTGTGCCTTATAAAGTGCACTTTGAAGATGCTATATGCAGGCACAGCAAATTTGTACCAACCTGTATTCCTTAGGCGGATACAGATACTGGATTTCTGTCTGTAACATCCTAGAAACCGTAGCTGCAATATGACATCAGCACAGATAACAGCTCAGTCATATAGTGAAAGCTCCTAACATTACAGCTCACTAAACATATGTGCAACATCTCCAATCTTTTATGTTTCCCCTTCTCTTGTTTAATCTTATTTCCCCAGTGAGCATAAGAGCACTTCCTCACACCTCACAGTAGTCTTGATACCCAGCATTTTATAAATCTGATAGACATAACAGTTCACTGTTGTCTGGAGTTAAAACTAATTTCACCTGTCAGGGTAAGGCTGAATTAAAAGATCTGATCTATCTCACACTGCTGCTTAGAATTCTATATGAGCAAACAGCGTGGGGGTTTCAGTCTCAGAACTCATCGTCGGAGCTCAGCAGGAGGGTCTTTTCGTTGTCTCCGCGGGTGCTGACGTTGCTGTGGCTGCGGGACAGTGGCGGCCCCCCACTTCGCTCCAGCGTGGACTGCTGTGTGTACTGCTGATAAGCTGGGGAGAAATTATGGATGGCGTCCTGGACCATGTCGCCCGGATTCATGGTCTCCTTCAAGCTGCTGGAGATGCTCTTCATCGGGGCACAGCGACCTGGAGTGCAGGGCAAAGGTCTGAGTATTAGCAGAGACCAGAGAAGAATGCTAGAGAAAGGAGAGATTAACTTTGTTTCAAAATAAATATCAGATTAATGTTACCAATCAGACTTTAAAAAAAACTTTTTTTCTCTCCAATAAATAAACTACAATCAAATGCAAACTGAACCTTCCAAACCAGACAAATACGAAAAGGGAAACGGGAGAAAAATTTAAATGAATTCTTTTAAGCAAGCTGATGAGTTAACACTGAAGGCAAATAACGGCTAAATCAGGTAAGAATCAAACAATAACAATATTCCCCCAAACACACATACTTGGTGCAGAATAGTTGGGTTTTTTTTGTTTAAAAAAACGAGTATTTTTGCAACTAGAAAGCAGATCAGCATTTTTTTTTTTTAATATGGGGAGATAAAAAGGACCGCACAGCTGAGGCAGGGACATATACAGAACAAACAGAAATGGGAACGCAAAATGGCTAAATACCGACAGCAAAATAAATTTCCGACTGATAAACAATGTAAAAATAAAACACTGTGTTTGAAGAAAGCAGACAAAAAGGAAAAAATGCAGTAATTAAAGGAAATGAAATGATCTCTCAAGCAGCTTGTTTTTTTACATACAGCACTGAAAAACACATCTATTGTCAGACCTACCGTATTGTCCATAGATAGGAAAAGAGCCTGTGAGTGCCGCATAGCACAGAGGAAAGAAGAGAGAGACAAAAGACAAAAGAGAGTCAAGATGAAAATGAGAATTAGAAAACAGAGAAGAAAAGAGAACGACTCAATAGTCATCATGTTAGAGTAGGAATCAAGTTACAATGACGCCCACGGAGATCAGATAAGCTCTGAAAGACAGCCGATGTCAAACTGCCCCTATAATCCACTGGAAATCACACTGTAATGTACATTCTCATTTCGTCGACTTCCAAACGTAGAGTTGTGCTTTACAGAAGCCTCTGGACTCAAACAGGTACCACTTACCATACAAGTCCAGCCTTTTGTCCATGTACACCTTGTAAGTGAACGCATGGCGCAAAGCAACGGCAGCAAAGAACATCTCTATGCAGACGATGAAGTTCTGATAGCCAGCGGCGACAGTTCCTTCGCCCACGGAGAAGTCGGCGGAGCTGATCTGAGGAATGGCGCCACATTTCTCCAGGATGGCCAGCAGCATCCCTACGTTGTACAAAAGAAAGCAAGGTGTAAGATAACTAAAAACACTGACTAGTTGCAAAGTTAGCTTCTGCCACAAACTTCTCACTAGAAAGTATGAGGCATCACATAAAAGTGAACTTAGCTCAGAGAGCGGCTTTTGGCTACTGTGAAGAACAGTTACACGCCTTGGACAAAAAATCAGTGCTTAACCTCCAAGCTCTACTTCACTTGTAGAAGTGGAAATAAAAAGCCCAGCCTTCTGCGCCAATAAACATAAGTTCCATTATAGCTCAATGTCATACAAAGTGTAAAATCCCTATGCTAACAGGGTACAGTTGTATCTTCTTATATAAGCTGACAAAACATGGAGTTAAGTGAATCCATGTAAAGATTCATGAGCTAAAAAAGCACAAAAGACTTGCCGAAGCTTCAGTTGACACAGTTGTACACAGGTATTCTTACCCTGCCAGAAAGAGAGAAAGATGACCGACTTGACCATGATGAACTTGAGCACAGGGTTGTAAGGAACCAGCAGTTCTCGTGTAGCAAAGTAGAAGAGGAAGAGTGCGTAGAGCGACAAACTGACGGAGATGTTGTAGATAATAGTGACGTACAGGTAGCCACTAGCCACGCTGGAGGGGAAAGTCATAGAAAAGAAAATTATTACCATGTTGCTCACTGAGATGTTCCTCCCCGTGAACGTTCCTGTCACGAGGAACTCTTTGAACTACTCTTTGTCAGACTGATTGTATATCTTATCAAATTTGAAGTTTATCAAACAAATGTTTTGTATGGTAGGACAGTGGGAGACAGTTGCTGTAGCAACGCACTTAAAGTCCCCGTCTTTGTATTTGCCGAAGGCCTGAAGAATGACGGTAATCACTGCCATGAGGGGCTTCACCACACAGAACTGGAGAGTTGCCTGGAGAGGCAACAGAGAAGAGGGGAAGATGAATCAATAACTCTGAGGAAACCTCGGAGCAAGGTTATTATGATGAGACATGTAAGGAAAGGGAAGGGATTGGTACCTGTTTGCAAAACCTCAGGAAGCCAATGGAGTAGGTCTTTCCCCACAGACAACAGGTCCCATACATGCAACTCGACCTGAAGGAAGGCAGAAGTCAAGTTAAAGAAAGGGGAGAGGCTCTTTGAAATAAAACCATACACAGCTTAAGATTTGACCCGAAAGAAAGTGATAAACCAGCGAGAGACACTCACTCAATGGGTTTCCCTCTGATTTCAGCCATGATGGCACTTTCTCCTCCCAGATATTCGTAACACAGACTCAGGAAGTTGTAGATGACGAATGCTAGTGAGACACGCGGGTAAAAAGAAAAAAACAAACAAATAAAAATCACCCAGATATTATTTGACAGCAAATAAACAACTTCCCACATTTTTCTTCCTTTGTATAAAAGAACTAGATTTTTAAAGCAGAAATGCTCCCCTTCCTACACAATATTCACATAATATAACATACAACTGCATCTTTTCTCACAAAGGAGCTCTAAAGTCTCGCTGAACATAACTACTGTAGCAGCAGTGGTCACTGATTGCTCAATCTTGGCAATAGTTCGTGCAATACTCTAATTCTAATTGTGATTTAAGTGCTGAGTTTGCCAGGAAGAGAAGTGACTCATTCCTCTCAGCAGGCTCTCGAATGACTGTGTGATGACTATTTGGTTGCATAATTAAGAACTGTGGCTCTCTATGCAGGAAAAGGAACGAGGTGGCGTTGTTATCAGAGGAGCGCCGGGGGAACCCTCAGGAGACCGCTCGTGTTCAAGGTACTACCTCATAAAGGTGTCAGATTCAAAATACATTAACTGAATACATTAAATACACTAAATACATATACTCTGAGACAAGTAATCCAAAAAAACAATTTCGAAAAAATCCTTTGACTTGAAAATTTTAAAGGACTCCTAGACTTTTTTGCTCAGTGCTAAGATGGGACTGTTAACAGGACTGCACGCTGATAGTTGTAAATGGAAGCAGCCCCAGGTGTTTGCAGACTAATTTAAGAGTAACCAACAGATTCTGGCT